AAGAGAGGTTGGGTATGGGAAATGTGCACAAAGTATGGAGAGGAGAAGATGGCCGGAGAGGTGGAAAGAAGGATAATAGTGCCACTGTTGAAAAAGGAACGGGAATAAAGTGGAAAACTATAGAGGAGTGACATTGATTGCCAACGCTATACAAGATATACGTGGGGATTTTAACTGAAAGGTTAAAGAGAAATGGAGGGGAAGAATATGATACCGAGAGTCAGACAGGTTTTAGGAGGGGAATGAGGGTGATGGATAGTATCTATGTGCTGAACTATCTGGTGAATAAGAGGGTAATAAGAAGGGAGGAAAGGTAGTCGCGGCATTTATGGACCTGAAGGCGGCGTTTGATTCAGTAGATAGGGAGGTGTTAATGGAGGCAATGAAGAGGAGGGAGTAAGGGAAGGATTAAGGAGTAGGATAGAAGAGGTGTACAGGGAAACAGGAGTAAGGTAAGAGTGGGGAAGGAGGAGGGAGAAAATTTTTGGACGGCAAGGGGGTGAGGCACCGGAAGGGGAGGTGGCCCGGAACTTGCGGGTTATAGCGCACAAAACCACGGGACCGTCACCACGTGCCCGTCGTCAAAGAGAACCTTGATGGGGGTGCCGCGGGAGGTGGTCCGTGGGTCTCTCGAGTGGGGTGGTTGGGAGGGTGCCGCACGGCAGTGACGATCCCCACCCCCGCCACCCCCTCGCGGAGGCCCGGGTTGACGGTGTTGGAGGGGCGGCGGGCCGTCGTGACGGTCCGATCCGGACTCTCCTCGGCCGTGTGTCTCGGCGGTGGTGGCGGCGCGGTCAGCAGGATAGCCCTTCGGCGTTCCTGCTGCGCGTCAAACCGCTGCACCGAGATCCCCGGCCGCGGGAGCCGGACCGGCGCCGCCGGGGCCTGGTTGTCGGTTGGCCCCGTCGGTTCGGCGATCGGTCCGTCGCCCTCATCGGAGGACAGGTCCCCAAAAAGCGCCTGGATATCAGCGTTATTGCTCATCGTGGCGGTATGTGCCGGGTCGTTGACCCGGCTCCCTTATATATCCCTGCGGGGTTTTTTCGAGTGCGAGAAACCAAATTCCTCTTGCGGATCCTAGCGGCGGGGGGTCGGACTACGCGGTCCGTTAATGAGTCGTCGCAGGTTGCGTCGGAGGCCGCGAGATGGCGGGGGGGGTTGGTGTGCCGGAGGGGGTTTGTGCCCACGCTAGGCGGTCTTACTTTTGTACCGGCTGAGTCGGGAGGTTTTTATGGAGAGCCGCGAGATGGCGAGAGGGGCAGGGCGGTGTGCTGGAGGGGCTGCGGCTGCTGATCCTGGGGCTAAGTCCCGCTAATGTCTTTGTCCCCTTCCTCCGGTGCCGTCTTGAGGTCCTGCACGTGGATGTGGCGGTGCCATCGTCCTCGGGCGTCCTTCAGGTCGACGATCACCGGGGATATGATCCGTCGAACGGTCATCGGCCCGCTATATTTTGGGGCTAACTTGGCGTTGAATGCGTCGGCCTTGTTGGATAGGGGGCGGTCCCGCTACGGGGCCCACTTCCCCGTTAGAGCTTCGGCTCGTATGTGGTAAGGGATGGCGACCCGGAATTCAAACGCCCGGTGGCATGGCACCGTTAGGAGAAGGGACTGCACGGCGCTTCGGCGCTTCCCTTCCCACAATGCTTTGTGGCCCGACACGCCTGTCGGGTAGGCGGTTTTTTTGCCGTCCGGGGTTTTCTCCCCCCTCCGTCCTAGGGGGAGCTCCCTTTGGGGGGTTTGGGGGGGTCGGCGGCGGGGGCCGCATTGGAGGGTGCCGCGCGCGATTACCCGAAGGGCTTTGCCCGAGGAGGTCGCGCCGGCGGAGGGATCGACATGGTCACCCGAGGGGCTTTGCCCGGAGGGTTGTCCCAAGGGGCTTTGCCCGGAGGAGGCCATGTCGATCGGTCCTCGGGGCCCGCTCGTGGAGCGGTTCCCGAAAACAGGGAGGTGCCTCAGGGTGCTGGTTGAGGGTCTCCAGGCTGGGTAGCCTGGGTCCCCGTCCCAGCGTCCCTGGGGTAGGCCGCACCCAGGCCGCTCGGACGTTTCCGAGGCAGGGCTGGGTCGGCGGAGACGGCCACACGTGGTCACCCGAAGGGCATAGCCCGGAGGGTTTACCCAAGGGGCACTGCCCGGAGGGGACTACGCAGGTCGGCCGTCGAGGCCGCTCGGACATATTCCGAGGCGGGGCTCGACGGCGAGAGGGAAGTCGCAGGGTGCTGGTCGGAGAGCGTGCTCTCGTCCCAGCGTCCTTGCGGCTTGCCATCCTCGGGCCGCTCGGACGTTTCCGAATCCGGGCCGAAGGTGGCGTAGAAAGCGCGCCGCGGTTACCCAAGAGGCATAGCCCGGAGGGGTTACCCAAGGGGTTACCCAAGGGGCATAGCCCGGCGGGTGCCGCGGCCGCCTGCCGCCGGGGCCGCTCGGACGTTTCCGAGGGGGGGCCTGGCGGCGAGAGAGGTTATCTCCGGTCGGTCGGGACCGTTTCCCCTTCCGAACCAGCCGATCGGGGAGGCGCACCCCCTCGTTGAAAGCCTTCGACGAGGGTAACACGGTAGCTGGTCGCCACGGCGTGTAGGACAGGGCCGGGGAGCGGCGACCCTGCCCAAAGCGTCCGTGGGCCCCCCGGGTAGCGCCGCCCGTCACGGTGCCCGCGTTGTCGGAGGCGCGGGACCCCTGAAAGCCCGTGTGGGCGTCAAATCCCACACGGGTGTGTAAGAGGCTCGGGGTCAAGCCGGGGTGCGGTATCCCCCCGGCTAATGACGTACGTCCCCTCTCCGGGGGAACTCGGGGCCCGGCCTTGGGGTGTGGCCGGTCATGTTTCGGGGCACCCCTTGGTCGGTGGGGGTATACCTTGGGGACAAGAGCCGTGACGGGAACAAAGGATTGATCGAAATGGAGAATTATAAACAAAACCAAAACCAAAACAAATGTGAGAAAGTACTCTCTCACACAGAAGGGCAGGTTACGCAAGCCGCGATCAAAGCGGCACTGGAGGGGACCTCAGCAACCCAGGAGCCTAGCGCAATGGCAAGAGAGGTCTCTATAAGAGTCACAAGGTGTGACGCGTTACTGAGCGCGTTCTCATCCGAGGACTCATACATAGGAGCGAGAATGAGAGGGAGATCAGGCGTGTCGCATGCCTTAAGGACAACAGCCAGCAGATCTAGAAGTCCTTCAGGAATAAGAAGGACAAAAAGCAAGGTGCCCTCTGAGTGCAGTGGCCTTGATATGGAAATAGATCAAAGCAGCACATACACAGAAAGAGCGGAATTGCCTTCTTTCCGTGAGATCAACCGGAGGATCGACGCGGCAATAGAGAAACAAGGAGGGATACCGCAAGCTGCGGAATTTCTGCAACCGACGGAAGATCCGCAACAAAAGTGCGGAGACCAAGAAGAGGGAAACACCATTTCCGATATAGAGGAAAAGAGAAGGGAGGCCGCTTCGAAACAACAGGGGCCCGCAGGAAAAAACTGGAGGAACAGGCCAGAAAAGAAGAGGAAAGGGCTCTGCAAAGGGAAAAGGAAATCCTTGAGCCACTAATAAAGCCAAACCTAAAGAAGTCCTACAAGAACTTCTTAGAAGGCATTAGGGACAAGGAAGAAGAATACAGGCAGGCCCCAATAGTGGACCTCGAGGCATTAGTATCCGAAAGATGCACGGATATTTATAAAATTGCCGTGAGCTCAGGCAACATGAAAGGCAGCTTCACTAAGGCTGCAAAGGAAGCCGCGGCGGACATGTGTGCTGCTGCGACTGTGCTCGCCATTAAAGCACAGAACCTTCAGGAAACTGGGGTGGAGGAGGAAATAAGAATGATGAGGCATGAGATGCATCTCCTCCGAATGGAGAATGTAGAGCTGCGAAAAACGGTTGGAAAGCTCAAGCAAGCAAACAAAAATCGCGAGGGGACCCAAAGATTTGCTGAGGTATCAAGGGAGACTTCCCTTGCTAGGGAAAGAGGGAGGAGGACGGAGAGGTGGGTGAAAGAGAGCTCACCTCTATCAGGGGATGGGGGATTCCCGGACACCGTGGTGCCTGAGAACTCACTTCCACCCCCAGATAGGGAGCCCCCACGAAGTAAGGGGAAAAGGACTCGTGGAGAGGCACTTCCACCCGAAGATGGGGTCTCCCCAGGAGTCCATAAGGAGGGAAAAATGAAATGGAGATCGGAAATCTTTGAGAAGGAGGAGTTCCCCCCGCTCGGGAGAAAGAAGACAGACCGGGCCCAAGTACACTCCCTTAACAGAAGGGGAAGATGATCGACATCGCAGACGAGGATAAGGAGGGATGCGAAGAGAAATACAAGCAGGAAGCCCTCATTACAATGATGGAGGGAATATGCGAGAGAATTATGGACAAAAGAATTGAGAATCCGGTCCCAAATTATGTCCAGAGGAAGGAGGCGGAAAAACGTGGAGGAGGCGGGAAAACAAACCCACCTGCCCCACAGAAGGGACAAACAAGGTCAACAAAGACCAGCAACACCCCCCCGGTAACAACCCTGAATCCGCCGGCGAGACCTGGGATGCCAAGAGTAAAGGCTATCGAAAAGGTCTCAATCAAGATTCCTCTACACAAAAAAGTAGAGGAAAAAAGAAGGAAAAAGGGAACACATCCAATCCCCAGAAGAAGGCCGCTCCACAGGAGACACAACAGCTAACGGAAACGTGGACAACTGTTGTGTCCAGGAAATCCGCGAAGAGAAAAAAAAAATAAGGAGGCGAAAGGGATACCACAACAGCAGCAGCAGCAAAGATCTCCCGCTGCTGTACCCCAAGGGAAGAAGCAAACGGTACCCCCTAAAAAAAGAGGAGGAAACCAAAAATGGCAGCGGTGACAATAACCTGCCCATCAGGGGAGTACAAGCCAATAATGTCGGAGGCCCGCCAGAAAATGGAGGGCCTCGAGAGCCTCGGCATAACAAATGGGGTGAAGATCAGGAGAGCTGTAACCGGGGCTCTGGTTTATGAGATTCCCGGAGAGGGCAGCAATGAGCTGGCGGACAGGCTGGCCCTCAGACTTAAACAGGTCCTTTCTGGGAAGGAGGGGGTTAAAGTCCAAAGACCCACCAAGATGGCCGAACTCAGGCTGAGAGGGCTGGACGAGACCGTCACCCCCGCGGAGATCCGCAAAGCAGTTTCCGAAAACGGAAACTGCGAAGAGGAAGAGGTGAACGTAGGAGAGATCAAGAGGGCACCCAACGGCATAAAAATGGCGTGGATCCGGTGCCCTCTAAGATCGGCAAACGCCATAGCCAAAAAAGCCCAGATACGAATAGGGTGGGCTATGGTAAGGGTAGAACTACTGGATAACCGTCCCCTCCAGTGCTACAAATGCCTGGAGGGAGGCCATGTAAGGGCGAGATGCCCTAATAAGGCAGACCGCAGCGGTAAATGTTACCGCTGCGGTGAAGAGGGACACAGGGCTAGCACCTGTGAGGCTCCGGTACGCTGCTCGGTGTGCAGCGACAAAAACCTCCCCGCCAACCACAGAACGGGAGGAAAGTCCTGCACACCGGTGCAGAAGGGGAGAAGGGGCATCCCGTTAACAAAAATGATGGGAGACCCCAGGAGAACCGGAACCACACAAATGGAGGTGGAACTTCTGCGAAGTGCCTCTCCCCCTCAAACCCAGGAGAGACCTTTAAAGCAGAGACTTCCCAGAACCAAGGAAGGAAGGAGGCACGTGGAAGAAGGAGAGAACCCCTCCGGGCCAAAGCGCTGGCAAAAGACAGCGCCTCAAGGAAAATTTGGAGGGGGGAACGCCGAAGCCATGGAGGTGGCGGAAGGAGGATTAATAACCAGTGTGATTGATGTTGGCCAATAAAATAATACAGGCCAACATCAATCACGCGAGGGAGGCCCAGGATCTTTTCGTCCATACTATGGCGGAAAGATCCTGCGGCCTAGGTATTGTGGCGGAGCCGTACAGGGTGCCCAGTAAAAACTGGGTACAGAGTACAGACGGCCTCGCTGCAATCACAAGGAGGAATACGCCCGACTCCCCTCCCCTAAACCTTATTGGGGCACACAAGGGGATCGTGACGGCTTCCTGGGGGCCCATCATAGTGATTAGTGTATATCTCCCGCCGAGTCTGAAAAACGAAGACTTCGGCGGGAGATTGCGAATCCTGGAGAGGGAGATCGCCCGACATCACCCCAAACCAGTAATAATCGCGGGGGACTTCAACGCCAAATCAACGGCGTGGGGTTCCCCGCGCACCGACTGGCGGGGTAATGAGGTCGAAGAGTGGGCGGCGCAATGCGACCTTGTGCTCCTCAACGAGGGGAGCGTACAGACATGTGTGCGCTGGCAGGGCGGGTCAATCGTTGATCTTACGTGGATGACCCGCCCTGCGGCAAGGATGGCACAGAGGTGGAGAGTGGCGGCGGAGGTCGAAACATTGTCTGATCATAAATACATTGAGATCTCCGTCGCCATGACCACCAAAGAGGTCGCAGAGCGTCGCCGAATAAGAGAGGCGAACTTCAGGAGGTGGGCCCTCAGGAAGCTAGATGAGGACATGCTCATGGCGGCGTTAATCGCCGCCATGATAACGAAGGAAGAGGGGACTGGGAACTTGGAAGAACACAAGGCATGCCTAACAAACGTCGTACTTCAGGCGTGCGACGCGGCCATGCCCAGGGTTAAAACCCGGTCCCCTAAACACGCGTATTGGTGGTCGGAGGACATCGCCGAGCTGAGGCGGTCCTCCGACCACGCAAGAAGAAACGTCAAGAGGAAGGCGAAGCACGCGCTACTGGACCCTGAAGGACTGGAGGACGCGTGGGATGCGTACAAAGAAAGAAGAAACGCCCTGCGCGCCTCCATCCGATAGGCAAAGGCGAGGGCCTGGGAAGACCTAATCTCCTCCCTGGATGAAGATCCGTGGGGCCGTCCCTACAAGATAGTTTTAAATAAACTGAGAGGAGGGACGGCACCGTTAACGGAGTCACTGAACCCCCATCTCGTTGAAAACATTATAAGGGTCCTGTTCCCCCGAACAGCGGGTACGCAAAACCCAATACGGGCGGGGGAGCAGGACTGGAACGAGACGGAAATGGGGGTCACGGGAGGAGAAATCCGGGATGCCGTCAAAAGAATTAAGAAGAGGAAAGCCCCTGGACCGGACGGCATCCACGGAAGAATCTGGGCCCTCGCCTTTAGAGAGCTGGTGGAGCCCATGAGACACTTATACAATGAGTGCCTCAGGGAGGGCTCCTTCCCCCAGGAGTGGAAGAGGGCAACTATAGTCCTAATCCCTAAGGAAGGTAAACCTAGGGATTCGCCCTCGGCGTACAGACCTATATGTCTGTTGGACAAGGCGGGAAAGATTCTGGAAAGAATCATCGCTGCCCGCCTCGTCCATCACCTGTCCCGGAATGGTCCGAATCTGGATGATAGACAGTACGGCTTCCGGGCCGGGCGGTCAACTATTGACGCAATCTTGCGTGTCCGCTCGGTCTCGGAGGCCGTCGTGAGGGAAGGCGGGGTGTTGTTAGCGGTCTCACTAGACATTTCGAACGCCTTCAACACCCTGCCATGGCACCGGGTGGGGGATGCCCTGAGATACCACAGGGTTCCCTCCTACCTGGTGTCAATAATCTCGGACTATTTTCGGGGCAGGAGCCTGGTCTACGTGGACCAAAACGCCGAGGAGCGCAGGGTCAAAGTGTCGTACGGAGTTTCGCAGGGGTCAGTATTGGGCCCCCTTATGTGGAACCTCGCATACGACGTGACCCTGAGGACAGCCCTCCCCTCTGGCTGTGATGTCATCTGCTACGCGGATGACACACTGGTCATGGCCAGGGGAGACTCCTGGAAGAAAGCAGTAGCGCGTGCTAATATCGCTGTGGCTCGCGTCGTGCGCACAATAGGTGGAATCGGGCTGAAGGTTGCGCCCCAAAAAACGGAGGCCGTTTTTTTTCCACGACGGCTCCCATGGGGCGCCCCCCAAAGTCCGAATATTAGTGGGAAACACCCCTGTGGAGGTGGGGACCCAGATCAAATATCTGGGTCTCCACTTGGATGGCAAATGGGCCTTTGGCGAGAACTTCCGCCAATTGACCCCGAGGGTTGGCAGCGATGGCGCTATGCCGGCTGCTTCCGAACCTTGGGGGACCGGACGGAAGGGTTCGCCGATTTACGCCGGAACCATACATTCCATGATTATGTACGGAGCCCCCGTATGGGCAGAAAAGGTGGAGGCCACCCGCAAATTAAGAGATGCTTTGCATCAACTACAAAGGCGGGTGGCCAACCGCATATGCCGGGGGTTCCGTACTGTAAGCTGGACGGCCGTGGAGATGCTCTCAGGAGTACCCCCTATAGAGTTATTAGCCCGCATGTACGCCGAGGTATATAGGCGTATACGCGGGCTACAAAGGCAAGGAACGGCCGTCACTGAGAGTGTCCGGCGTGCACTGATGACCCACACCCGACGGCAACTTATAGAGAACTGGTCCGGCAAGCTGCAAGACCCGCGGCTGCCGGGACAGTGGACCGTCGGGGCCATCCGGCCCTGCCAGGAGCAATGGATAGGCAGGACCAAGGGGGGTGTTTCCTACCGCATGACACAGATGCTCACCGGACATGGGTGCTTCGGTGAGTACCTGTGTCGAATAAAGAAGGAGCGCACGGCACGATGCAATCACTGTGGCTGCGAGCGAGACACTGCCGGGCACACACTCCAGGAGTGTGTGGCCTGGGCGGACGAAAGGGAGGAGCTCGCAGCCACAATAGGAAGGGACCTGTCGCTACCGACAGTGGTGAAGGCGATGGTGGAGGACGAAGAGGCGTGGAAGGCGTTCTCCTCCTTCTGCGAGAGCTTGTTCTTGCAGAAGGAGGAGGCAGAGAGAGAGAGGGAGAGGGCTGGGAGAGGTAACTCCCAGCCTTCGGAGGAGGAAGAGGGAGAGGACGATCCGGAGGATGGGGACGGGCCCCCTCTTTTTCCGCCGTCGGCGAGCTTGCTTGTCCGTGGCGGCGGAAATCGGGGGGGGGGCGCCCCCGGTGGAGGTAGAGGTAGCAGGAATAGGGGCCGGCCCTCCCTTTTCCCGCCATCGGCGAGTTCGCTCGTTTGTGGTGGCGGGAATCGGGGGGGGCTCGCCCCCAGCGGCGCAAGAGATAGCCGCGGAGGAGGGGGCGGGCCCTCTTTTTCCCCGCCATTGGAGAGAGTACTCACCCGTGGTGGCGAGGAGCGGGGAGGGTCCGCCATATTCACACCCGCGTTATACGACGCGGGATGAGGTTGCCGGGGGGGGGGGTCGGGGACGACTAAGTTCCTGGACTCCCCTCCCAAAGACCTCTCGAGAATCGGGGCGTGGGTGCGCCGCCTTGCCTAGGCGAGGCGGGCGCGGCCGCGCCCCCAAAAGGGAAATCTCCCTGATTGCGGCCGAATCCTAACTCCCAAGGGAGCGGAGAGAGTCGTAATTAGGGGGACCGAGGGAGAGCCACGCGTCTTTGGCGGGCGGGCGCTGCCTGTCCGCCTGGGGCGCCTGGGCCCCCCTCAATGACGAAGACGTGACGCGCGGGGCCCTCTCACCGGAGCCATAAGGAACCGGTGGGAGGGCAACGCCGTCCACGGAGGGGGTTTCTCTCAATCTGAGAGAAATCCCCTGGCGAGGGCTCCCCTGGTGGAACGCCGAACCGGATCACCCTTTTGGTGGTCCGGGGGATGCGTCCAGCAGGGAGGCGGAGGGCGATGGCTCGAGCGGGAGCTCTCGAGCCATGGCCCCGCCCCCCAAACTCTTTAGGAGGGCGCGGCGTGGGACCGGTGTTCGCCCTGCGCTGCAACCGCGAGGGAACCGCACAGTCATTGACTGTGCGGTAGGGGAGGGGTCTCGGCCGCAAGACCGAGGCAGCTCTCCAGAGACGGCTTGGCGGGGGGGCGGCGAGTCGGCATAGGATACCAGCATCCTCGCCGCCCCCTATCTAACGCCCGGGAAGAACACCCGCTGAGGTTTTAGTGAGGTAGGTCTTGGGCCCTCTGGTCGAACCATTCGTGGCTCGATCAAAGGGAACAAGGAGTCCCACATAACCCGCACCTCTACCCGGAGGTGCGTGGTACCATGACGGTTTCCCCAGCGTCACAAAAAAAAAAGAGGGGTGAGGCAAGGTTGTCCAATAAGTCCGCACTTTCTCTCAGGGGCACTACGGACTCATCCCCGTAGTGTACAGGTGTCGCAATCCCGAGGTACCCGAGCTGGAATGTCTGGTAATGGATGAACGGGGTGTGATGGGTGTGCAGACCCTAAAAAGGACTTGTCCACTGCACTAGGTGAAGGAAAACACCGAAGATAACACCTGGGGGGGAGGCCCCGTTAGCTGAGTAAGGCAACCTCCTAAGGGGAAGGAAAACCCCTGACAGAAAAAACCAATTTCTTTTTCAGAAAATATAGAAGGTTCAGAAAAGGAAGAGAACGTCCCGGGTTCGGGTACCGGGAACCGGCGTGGGGGGGAGTGCAGGCCTGGCTCCCTCCATGTCGTCATCGTACGACAGGTCGTCTGCAGCTTTGCCGGCTGGGGCTGCAGACAGGACAGCTACAGTGCCGAGTAGTGAGAAAGCCATGGTGCGTGAGCGGTTACGAAGCCTAGCTCGTGACTGGGACACTCGTGACCGTGGTGTCGATTCAAGAGAACTTGCTGCGTCTATCCGCCGAGTTCTCTTGAAAAGGGAAGTGCGGAGGTATCTTGTATTGAGCGAATACAAGGTACTTATGTGGTACGTGGACGATTTCTTCCGAAAATGTTCGCGGGGAGAGACGGACTTTTGTGCCGGACATGTGTGTCCAGTTTTTTGAGCCGGTGGTGCTCATTAGCTCATCAGACTCATTATCGGGGGAGGTGAATGAGGTAGACAGTGTCTGTTCACAACCTCTTTGATCTCCGGAAGTGGTGCGTGGGGTCAGTGGAGACGAGGACCGGCAGGCTGCGGGACCCTCTGCCCTCTCTATCTCATCCCCTTCCTCTGCTGAGGATGTGATGGATGTGAAGTGGACTCCACATGACAAGAGGCTCCTGACTGGGAGAAAACAGTACCCAGCCAAAAAATCAGGTAGGTCCAAAGCGCGCACTGAAACGCGGGGTCGCCCCAAAACATCTGGGGATTATGTTGGTTTGGCTGAGGCCAAAGAGCGTTTAAACCGTGCAGTTGAGCGGGAGCTTCAACTGGCGGATATCCGCAGGCTTTTGGACCCGGGTCTGGGCCCTGAGCTGTCGGCGGTGGGCAGAGAAAACATCACGCCTGGTGAAGCCTTCCGAGTGAGGCTCCAGAGTGTCACCAATCTGGAGCTCAAAAGGTTGGCAGAGTTGTCGGCTTCTCAAGTGGAGAGGGCGTCTGAGATCACTGGTCTCGATTCGATCGTGGCTAGGGATCTCCGGATCTCCTCGATGAGGCTTGAGAGCATTTTTCAGGAGATGGAAGGACGGATTGTCCTCGAGGCGGATCCCCAGATTGAAGCTCTTCGGAGCAAAAATCTGGGGCTCAGGGAGAGAATCTCGGCCCTTGAGCGGGAACGTAATAGGGTGGAAGGCGAGATGGCCGCCTTTCGGGCTGTTCTCCCGAGGCTGGCTGAAGAGTACTTCTCTGGCGAAGCTTTGAAGAAGGCTCCAAAAAAGAGGCAGCGGGTGGCATCCTCTCCGGAGTCTACTGGGGATGCTGCGGAACGTGAAGAGGTGCTGCCGGGGTCGCACCCTCTTACGGTGGCGGACCTTTCGGCCATCTTAGATAGGAGGATAACCAACTTGAGGGTGGACATAACGTCGGCGATTCTGGCTCGCGTGGAGCCTTTGCTTATGGGGCAGCCTGGAGCCCCTCCAATTGGAGGGGCTTCCATGGGT